AAGTCATTGATCCAAAATCGAAGTGGAGTGATCAAATACAGCATCTGGAGAAGAAAGCGCAGAAACTAATAGCCGTCACTTTAGCATCAGCTATGCCCTTCCGAAACCTGTCTCGGCGGATGGAATGCCGTGTTATCTCTTCATTACTCGCAGCATTAAGCGAACTGTTTACGAAAAAATGGGACCACAGCGGCTAGACTTCTTTTCGGACAGCCACTCAAATATTAGTCGAATCAAGGGCAGAACTGCAAACGAAGAGGACGTGAGATTATATGCATTCCACGACGAAATTATAAGGGGAGCTATACTTCGTCCTCGAAATTAATTTTTATTAAAAGGGGAAAAAGGATAAATGCGTGAGGCTCTCATATAACCTGCCTCTCACAATGAGCATCAGAGTTTCACGCGGGCAGCTCGGATCAGACACCAGTACCGGTTTCATAAAGGCCACATTGACATAGATGGATTGCCGTTCGACTGCAGTCGTCTAATTACTGAAAGTAAGAAAGGAAACACAAGACTGTAAATTAGCGGTGTAATTCCGTCTCGTGGTCGGTACCGCGTGTAGGTAGGGAGTACCGTCGAGCCGACTGCGGTTGAATAGATTATTCTGAATACAGCTTCGCTGGCATTCCCACTCAGCTGGACTTCGGGCTGTCCCAATTCCCCAATGAGCATAGTACATTGTGCTGAAGGTGATGTGATGTGATGTGTGCAGGCAAGTTGTTTAATCTTGTCAGCCACAAGGCGCCTCGGATGGTCCTGATTCTCTCGCGTCACTGAGGCCAGGAGCATGAGGCAGGAGAGAGTGCAGCAGATACGGCACAAGTCTGCCGTCATTTATAACGAATTCACACGCAAGTACGCAGTCTGTAGCTACGGCACTATGTAAGGCACATAAAAACTGTCACATGTAACGGTCATTCTGCCGTTGCATTGTAGCGGTCTAAGTAGATTTGTGCCTAGATCACTACAATCATCGGGCCAAATCCCAAGTTGGAAGTTAAAAAGTAGAAATCACCTGAAGGAGTGATTTATTGTGTACATAACTCCCTATTGCTGTCTCAGGTGCCAGTGGCCACTGGCGAAGCCAGTGCTAGTGTTGACTGCGTAGAGCCAGACCTGACTGAGCATGAGGGAGTAGCGGCGGCTGCTTAAGTAGGATTGCAATTGCCCGAGGAAGTGTCGCCTGCAAAGGTTCCCTGCTGCTTTGGCCAAATAAGTGTGGTGGTAAGCGGCACTTAGGAAGGCGTGCTTATTTGAACGCCGATGGGTGCGTGAGTGATTGAATATCGGTCAAGTGGTCTTAAGGTCAGCCAGTGGAACAGCCGCCTGAGAAGACACATGACGTTGCCGCAGCGGTCATGGGGAGGGGGAGGAGCAGT